AATAAATAAATAAATAAATACCCTGTCACTTCTGTACAAATCAAAGTTGAATTCCATCCACTCTGGACATTTTTCCCCATTATTGTTATTGTAAATATTTCCCTATTATTTAGTATAAATAGTATATTATGGATTAAAATCATCCTTACCACTTTAACTAGTCCTGCTTTGTTTATCTTTGCCAATGGTAAAGACCAAGGAAGAGTTGTTTGGGGTGGCCAAATCAAAACTCAATACGGTCCATGTGAGACTTGGGATGTCTGTGAAACTAGGTGATAGTGTGAGGTAGGTTGTTGATCTAAGAGGCTGGATGGAGTGAACAGCTTAGCTAGTGATGGTTCGTACCAACCACCCAGCATCTGTATCTTAATGAACCTTGCTCTTCTCCACCTGTTACATATGCAGCAACTGTTGGGAGGTAGGGAAGAACTTGGTGGGACGTGGAAGGTATTCCTCCAAAGTGGTCTTAAAGTGAAAATTAATTGCTAATGCTGGTAATGAAATAAGAGGGGCCCAAGAAATGAATACCCCTTACATCATTTTCCTATAAATTAATAACAGAAATAGATTTATGACCTAGTAGATAAAAGGTATAGCTTATTACATATGCAAAATGATTCTGGCAAATTTTAAGTCCATGTAGTTTGAGAAACTACACACACACACACAGTGTCTCAGCTGATGCTGCCATAACAAAACACCATAGACTGGCTGACCTAAAGAACAGGAGTTTATTTCTCACAATTCTGGAAACTGAAGGTCCAAGATCAAGGTGCCGGCAGGGGCAGTGTCTGGTCAGAACTCTCTCCTTGGGTTGCAGATGGCCGCCTTCTTGCTGTATCCACACATGGTTCTTCCTCATTCTTGCTCTGTCCTCTGACTATGTGGGTGGAGAGAGACAGAGGAAGTAAGTTCTCTGTTGTCTCTTCTTATACGGGCATTACTCCCATCGTGAGAGTTACACCTTCCTCATCTCATCTAAACCTAATTACCATCCAATGATTCCCAATATCATTACACTGGGGCTTAGGGCTTCAACAAATAAATTTTAGGGGGGCACAGTTCCATCTATATAGCACACCAAATCTGGAAGGTGAGGAAGAGGAAATATGTCCATACGTTAGTCATAACGTCCACTGTTGTGTCATCACCTTAGATCTGCCCTAGTATTTGTTTATCTATTTTATGCTAAAATGTATTCATACGGATTTCATGCCATGGTTTTAATTGATATACATGCAATAATTGTCATACTTTTTGAGGAAATTATTTATTGTTTTTATGGAATAACATATTGTATGCAATAATGAAGGCTCTGTATGTATTATTTGTACAAGGCATAAAAATGTGACAGTATAAAATGAAACTATCCAGTAATAATTTTATTATCAAACTATTGCAAGTGCCTAAGGGTTAATGCCCACTAGTGAGGACAGAGAAAAATAAGCTTCACAAATAAGACAGAAGTAAATATTATTTGTCTTTTATTACTGAGACCAGCCACTTGACAAACTGCCCTTATTCAGCTAAGCTTTCAACAACAGTTTTTCTGTTTCTAATTTCTGTAATATTAAGTACTCTTTTGGCAGAAGCACAAACTCAAAAGCAATTTAAAAAAGAGTAATGCATATATGAAAAGTGTCAACAGGGCTCTTCAGAGAGGTGAAGAAAGGTAGTTTTGTAATACATACTTCCTCACTTGGATCATCAGTCACTATTAAGCAATCTAGATTCAATGCAAACTTCTTTAGAAATTCTGAAACTGTATCTAAAATGCTGACCACAAAATGTGTCCACAAAAAAATCCTCAAAAACAGCTGCAATACTTACGCGCCTAGGTGGCTCAGTCAACTGCACATCCAACTCTTGATCTCAGCTCAGGTCTTGATCTCAGGGTCGTGAGTTCAAGCCCCACATTGGACTCCACACTTGGCGTGGAGCCTACTTAAAAAAGAAAGAAAGTAAAAGCGCAAGCTGCAATACTGATTAATAACCTTGATAAAATAATCTGTTACTCAGGAAATGTTGGAAAAATACCCATCTTACATGTTAAATCCAGGTTTCATGCTTGTGACTATCAATTAGACTCCATATCAATAACATGGGATCATATACTTTCAAAATTATAGAAATATAGAAAAAAATAATGTTGACTGAATACTTATTTTAGCTGGTGCTTATCCTTGGTTAGTAACTTGCTCACATACAATGGGAATTAAGTTAGAGTAGTCCTGTTACAAAAAAACAAAAATATTTTGATCAAAAACATAAAAGTGCTTAAACACATTACAGACTAAAAGCTGAGATCATTCCATTTCTACACTAATGCTTAGTTGTTTTGCATATGTGTGAAGATAAGATTGCCCCTGTCTCTCTTCAATGTGAAACTATTGGTAGGAATAAGACGCAGTAATAGAAATTTTAACAACTACAACCTATTTATTTATATAGCACATGATGCTTTTCATAGCTATTTTGGACATTATCATATTTGAGTTTCCTCCAAATCTTGTGAAATTAGTAGCACCAAATATATTTTAAGAGGAAACTAAGATAGTAATAAGTTGAATTATGGAGGGAGACACAGATCGAAAGAGTTGCAAAATATTTTTAAAACAAAACATGACCTGATTTATTCATGTTTGGAAAATGACAACCTACAGTGCTCCTATAGTTTTGAATGAATGAATGAATGAATGAATGAATGAATATATGAATGAAGTCCCATGCTTAGAGCTTTTTAAGTTGCTTAAACTAAGAATTAAACTGGGTAGGGGCGCCTGGGTGGCTCAGTCGGTTAAGCGTCTGACTTCAGCTCAGGTCACGATCTCGCGGTCCGTGAGTTCGAGCCCCACATCAGGCTCTGGGCTGATGGCTCAGAGCCTGGAGCCTGCTTCCGATTCTGTGTTTCCCTCTCTCTCTGCCCCTCCCCCGTTCATGCTCTCTCTCTGTCCCAAAAATAAATAAAAACGTTAAAAAACAATTAAAAAAAAAGAATTAAACTGGGTAGAACTTTATTGCTTGAGTTATCCTAAATTAAAAACTGAACTAAATAAAAAGAAAAAAAATTGGTGCTCTCTGTGTATATAGTCCCTGAGGTTGGGATTATGATATATACTAACACTGATGAGGACTCATGATCAGAAATGGTGTCAGGAGCAACCTGGGTAGGTGTAACAAGCCCAGCTAATGCCCCATCCAAGATTTGCTTCATTTCACCTACCTCGGACATTTGTTTTGCTCTCCTGCCTTTAGCCAAAAAACTCAGTTGCTGCCATATCCATCAGAAAACAGCAGATGGCACACTCAAGCATAGTAATTGAGAAACTGCAATAAAGTCACCATTTACAAAGGTGTTAATACAGTTAAAAGTCACCAAAAAGGGATGATGGGACATCTCAGAGCAAGCTACGATGAGAATCCATTACTGCCCTTAGGATGAGAGGGCAAGGCAAAGAAGCAGTGTTGAAACCTAAAGAGAGTAGCTATACAGAGACAGCCATCTGACACATGACCTTTAGTAGAAGGATACATGATGAACTACACAGAAAGGAGCTGAGGGAACAAATACTACAACCTCACTCTTTTCCCTGCCTCTGATCACCTGTCAGTGCTTCCACTGGCTGATCTCAATCAGAAGCCAGCGGGAAAGAGAGTTCATGGATGCAGTCCATAAAGGTCAGCATCCCGGGGCACAGTGCAAAATAGAGGGTAGAGCATGGGTCTTCAGGAACAAGTGGAAAATATCATGCACGTTGAAGAAAAAGAAATTCCACAACTTACACTTACAATCCTGCCAGAATTTGATAACTTTTCAATGAGAAACTCAACCCATTTAATTTTTCTGTAAGGTAAGGCAAAAATCCAGGCAAATTGCATACAATAAATATTTATAGAATAATTATGTTGAATGGTGAACTAAATCCAAAGGGATGATTAAACAAATAGGCTATATAGAAGGTGGGGGGGAGGAGGGAGAGAGAGGAATAGACAGAGATAGAAAAGATAGAAAGAGAGAGAGAGAGCGAACATGAACGTAAGTTTTTATTCAGCCACCATGATTCTAGTAAAGGAGAATGTAACCTAGCAACAGAAGCTTTACAAAACGGTTTGCTCATAAATTGTTGAAAATGGTAGTGATATCAGAATGCATAATTAAATAAAGAGAAGTTACCAAAGAAGTTACCCAGTCTCTCTGACTGGGGACAGAGAGAACTAATATCTAAGTAGATGGGTAAGAAAGATCAAGTGGTTTGTGGGGTGCCTGGGTGGCTCAGTTGGTTGAGCGACCGACTTTGGCTCAGGTCGTGATTTCATGGTTTGTGAGTTTGAGCCCCGTGTCGGGCTCTGTGCTGACAGCCCAGAGCCTGGAGCCTGCTTTGGATTCTGTGTCTCCCTCTCTCTCTGCCCCTCCCCCACTCATGCTCTGTCTCTCTCTGTCTCATAAATAAACATTAAAAAAAATTGAAAGAAAGATCACGTGGTTCTTAATATTCAAATTCTGATGTAAAACCTTTCTACACATTATTTTAAATAAATATTCACATAAAGTGAAAACTGTTTAGAAGGAAACAAAACTAATTTTTGCTGGAAAAGCATGTGCCTAAAATAGATCTTTTTCAGTCTAAATTTGAAAAAAAGTAAGTATAATCTCAACCTTGCAGGAAAACATTTATCTTTAAGTTTGTGACCCTATCATAGTTTTTCAATAATGAAAAAAACAGCCGATACTTAGATCAATTTTGGTATACCCTCCTGATTGATATTTGGTAATATTTATGTATAAAACTATCAGCTAACCACATCATGTGGTTAATACCAATAAATTAATTACCAATGTCATAAATTAATACCAATGTCAGAGTTAGGATAATTTCTCTTTATCACTACTGATTTCATTTATTTACACACACATTGTGAGTTCAAGGGAATATGTTAATTGGTGTATGTACTATATTTTCTTATTTGCTGTATTCCTGACTCTCAGGCATCTGGGGCCTCTCCGCCTCGAGAGAGACTGGCCCTCTTAGAGACAGCCAATTCTTAGAGATAGCAAATGACTCAACTGTCATACGTAAACTAGGCAATCCACAGTCCCTGCCCTAAACTATCTCCTTTCTGGGCTCTTTCACCCCAAAGGACAGTACTTCTCTGCATTAATCTCCCCGGGGCTGGAAAACAGGCAGCTAGAGATAACCTCCCTGCCCAGAGCCCTCTAAAATTATTCAAACTCGTCAATTCCAACCCTACCTACCTTACCTCGCATTGCCTTTCCCATAGAAACCACAATAAAGGCTTCTGCCCATGCTTCCCTTGTTCCTTCTGCCTCTTGACTGACCCCGGCATTTCTCTATGTGGTCCTCCATGGGTGATGTGCCCCTCTTATTGGAAATTGTAACAAGCTGTTTTTCCAATGGCAGTCACCTCTGATCTGTTGGCCTTACCATACTGGAAAAATAAGAAAATTTACATGTTAAAACAGTTGGTACTAGTCATTATTGTTTATGCTAACGCCTAAAAGAACTGGGCAATAAATAGTTTAGAGCTTTATAATTGACTCCAAGTTCATCTTCTGGCTCTGTGACATTGGGCAATGTAATAAAACTTTTATGAATCTTGGTTCCTCCTTTGGAAAATGGGGATATTCCCTTCTAGAAGATCCATTAGTCCCCTTTATGTTGTTCTCTGCTTTTATAAAATAAGTCTATACCAAATTATCTTTATCTTTATCTTTATCTTCCCATTGGGAAATATAGATTACCTACCTTTTCTTTTATGTGTTAAAAATTCTATATCGTTCATAGTTGCGATTTTACTTAATTGATACCAGCCAAATCGGTTCTGACACAGTTAATATTGACAGTAAAAACCCCACAAGGTGGCGGCAGAGGAAACACAATTATAAGCAGGTTGTATACAAGAGCCTGAGGAAGGAAGCAAGGTCTGGCTTCCCCTTTCCGAATACCTTTCTGAGAATGGGGAGATACAGCCGAATGTCAACCACTTGGTCTGGGCTGCTTTGAGTCTGCCACCTCCTCAGAGAGTTACTTGTCATCAAAGTTCCAGGCACTTCATGAGCCACAGGCAGTTCTTGGGCCCACCTGAGAACCTGGGTCAGCTTTTGGAATTCATTTTGTGAAGAAGCTCAAGTTTTCTCTACAATTCATTGTGGCATTCCACAAATATTAAATGTTAATATTATTCTTAATTCCTTTTTTTAAAGTTTATGTATTTATTTTGAGAGAGAGTGCAGGAGGGGCAGAGAGAGAGGGGAGAGAGACAGAGTCCCAAGCAGGCTCCATACTGTCAGCACAGAGCCTGATGTGGGGTTCGAACTCACGAATGAGATCATGACCTACGCCAAAACCAAGAGTTGGCCGCTTAACCAACTGAGCCACCCAGGCACCCCAAATATTATTCTTAATTCCTAATCAGTGACATACAGTACATTTATGTGCACATAACTAGTCTGTTCCTGAAAAAGAAAATATTTATAAAATGTATTAAATCAAACACCACTCGCAATCGATGCTTGCAGCCTTATTTACATTTATCCATCTATTAAAATCATAAATCCTTCATCTTGAAATATTTTTAAGTGCATCACTTGTAGTAATAAAATAATTTGGACCGCTCTGTAACTAAAAACAAATTCCCACATAGCACAATATGTCTCTCTTGAATCTTTTACTGCATTGGAGGAGAAAGAATCAATGAATTAACACCATCTGTGCTAACTAAGTTCCAAAATTTTTGCACCAGTTCTAAAGGTTGGGAAGGACTATGCAAACTCCCCTAAGTCTATACACCTTCAACACAAATATGCATTATAGACAAGCAAATGCAATGCACAAACACACGTCCTAATTAGGAATTTAAAGGAGAAAGATTAAATCATTTTAGCAGGAATCAGGAAATATTTTACAGAAGTATTTTTAAGATAT